AAAGAAGTAAATGGTAGGGTGTTCGGAAGAGAGGTGTGATTAAACTATGGGGAATCAAATACAAAACGGGAAGTGACAGAGTTACTTTTTGCTGATGATACTGTACTTATAGGTGATTCTAACGAAAAATTGCAGAGGTTAGTGGATGAATTTGGGTGTGTGTGTAAACGTAGAAAGCTGAAAGTGAACATAGAAAAGACTAAGGTGACGAGGGTATCAAATGATTTAGATAAAGAAAAACTGGATATCAAATTGGGGAAGAGAAGTATGGAAGAAGTGAATGTTTTCAGATATTTGGGAGTTGACGTGTCAGTGGATGGATTTATGAAGGATGAGGTTAATCATAGAATTGATGAGGGAAAAAAAAGGTGAGTGGTGTGTTGAGGTATATGTGGAGACAACGTTATCTATGGAGGAAAAGAAGGGAATGTATGAAAGGATATTGGTATCAACACTCTTATATGGGTGTGAAGCTTGGGTTGTGAATGCAGCAGCGAGGAGGAGGTTGGAGGCAGTGGAGATGTCCTGTCTAAGGGCAATGTGTGGAGTAAATATTATGCAGAAAATTCGGAGTGTGGAAATTAGGAGAAGGTGTGGAGTTAATAAAAGTATTAGTCAGAGGGCTGAAGAGGGGTTGTTGAGGTGGTTTGGTCATTAAGAGACAATGGATCAAAGTAGAATGACATGGAGAGCATATAAATCTGTAGGGGAAGGAAGGTGGGGTAGGGGTCGTCCTCGAAAGGGTTGGAGGGAGGGGGTAAAGGAGGTTTTGTGGGCGAGGGGCTTGGACTTCCAGCAAGTGTGCGTGAGCATGTTAGGAGCGAATGGAGATGAATGATATTTGGAACCTGACGAGCTGTTGGAGTGTGAGCAGGGTAATATTTAGTGAAGGGATTCAGGGAAACCGGTTATTTTATATAGGAAATGGGAAGTACAATGCCTGCACTTTAAAGAAGGGGTTTGGGATATTGGCAGTTTGGAGGGATATGTTGAATATTTTTATACGTATACACCTCTAAACTTTTGTATTCTGAGCATCTCTGCAAAAACAGTGATTATGTGTGAGTGAGGTGAAAGTGTTGAATGATGATATAAGTATTTTCTTTCAGGGGATTTTCTTTCTTTTTGGGTCACCCTGCCTCGGTGGAAGACGGTTGACTTGTTAAATATATATGTATGTCGTGCCGAATAGGCAAAACTTGCGATCTTGGCTTAAATAGCAACGCTCATCTTGCCTTATAGGACAAGTGAAAATTTGTGTATGCAATAATTTCGCCAAAATCATTCTGAACCTAACGAAAAAAATATATTTGATTGTGTTTGTTTAGTACTAAGTTATTGTAAACGTATTTAAAATATATTTAGTTGGGTTAGGCTAAAATAAATTGCAGTTATAATAAGGTTAGGTAAGTTTTCTAAGATTCTTTTGGTGGAAAATTACAATTTTTTACATTAACATTAATGAAAAAAATGTATCTTTAAACGTATAAGAGAAAATTTCAGAAAGGACTTAATTTTAAATGAGTTCTTGCTAATTGACCAGTTTTACATATTCGGCACGACACACACACACACACACACACACACACACACACACACACACAGCTTTTCATCTCATCCCCTGCATGCATCAGCCTTACTAGAGATATTAACAATGCAAGGAATTCGTAAGAGCAGGCGAAATATACACAAACACTGATCTCTGGCTGAAGGAGACTCAAACCTACGAACCTTGGAACAAGTTACGCAGTAAGCTGTAAGCCTTCTCCCTGAAAGCTGGCTGCCTTGGATCAAAGTCTAGCGTAAGCTGGACTCCAAGGTATTGGTCCAGTGTGAGTAGATTGGTAAAGCACTGCGTACCTTGTTCGTAGGTCCGAGTCTCCTTCAGCCAGAGATCAGTGTTTGTGTATATTTCGCCTGCTCTTGCGAATTCCTTGCATATATATATATATATATATATATATATATATATATATATATATATATATATATATATATATATATATATATATATATATATATATATATATATATGTTGACATTTTGAGCCCTATTGTCGTTAAAATTTCTAACTTCAATGTTGAAAACAACTTAGATTTAGTTGATAAATTAAGCTCCTTGACTTACTTAAATATTTATAACATGGTTAGTTTTGATGTTACTTCCTTGTTTACGAAAGTTCCTGTTGATGATTTATTAAGTTTCTTATCTGAAGAACTCGTTAATTATGATTTACCATTACCAGTTCCTACCATCATTAAACTTTTTAAACTTTGTATTGTTGAAGCAAAATTTGTTTTTAATGATAAGTTTTACACTCAGAAGTTTGGTATGGCAATGGGAAATCCTCTTTCACCTGTTCTTAGTAATCTATACATGGAATTTTTTGAAACAAGATTGCTTAACACAATCCTCCCTAATAGAGCAAAATGGTTCATATATATATTGATGATATTTTGTGTCTTATGCCCAAGAATGTAGATATACACCATTTCCTTGGAAAATTAAATAGCTTAGCCCATTCTATAAACTTTACTGTCGAGTTTGAGGAAAATAACTCATTGCCTTTTCAAGATGTTTTAATTATTAAGGGTAATAATGAATTCAAATTTAAAATTTATAGAAAACCTACAAATAACTGTTCCTATGTACACTATTATTCCTCGCATCAAGATAGAGTTAAACTGTCTGTTTTCTCATCAATGTTTTTGAGAGCTTTACGTATTTGTAGTCCAGAGTTCATAGATGAAGAAATATCCAAAATTTATGAAATAGCCATTGATCTGAAATACCCGAGAAATGTAATTGATAAATCATTTAAAGTTGCTAGAAATACTTTTTACAATCCAAAAAGGGACAACCAACCTTATTCAACAAAAAATATGTTGGTTCTCCCTTACCATGAAAACTTGGTTGATATGCCTTCTCTTCTTAAGACTTTTAATATTAAAGTTGTATTTAAAAATCTTGATACAGCAAAAAATCTTTTGATAAAGAATTCCCCCCAAAATGCTGATGGATGTGTCTATAAGATTCCTTGTAAAATTTGCGATGAAGTTTATTACGGTCAAACTGGTAAAAGTCTCGAACTTAGATTAAAACAACATAAATATAGCATTAGAACTGGACAAGATTCCAATGCTCTATTTATTCATGTGAGAGATTTTAACCATCCAATAGATTTTCAAAAAGTTGAGAAAGTTGTATCAAGCAAGTCCATGGTTGACAGAAATATAATTGAATCTTGTTTCATAAAAAGCAGTTTTGAAAATAATATGAATATTTCTTTAGGTTTATATAAATTAGATTCATTTATAATTAATGAAATTTGGTTAGAGTTTAATAATACATTGGACAAATAATAAACCTTATTTCTTGGGTAGAATAATTTGTTAGTGGGATGTCGGGAGGACCTGTCTAGTTGGACCAGCGGACCTACTGCAGTGTTCCTCTTTTCTTATGAGTCCGGTATTGTCGCGCATCAGGTGTTTCTTTGTTGTGGGAGTTGACTGTGAGGTGTGGTCTAAGCCCTTTAATTGCCTTCCTTTGTTTGTATTACTTTCATAGTTCCTTGACAATGTGAGTAGTCACGAAAGCGCTTGGAATTTCACTACTCTTTCACAGTGGTTGTTTTGCATATTTTAAAATCACCTGTTTACTCTGATCTTATTGCATATATACATATATACATATATATATGTCGTGCCGAATAGGCAGAACTTGCGATCTTGGCTTAAATAGCAACGATCATCTTGCCATATAGGACAAGTGAAAATTTGTGTATGCAATAATTTCGCCAAAATCATTCTGAACCGAACGAAAAAAATATATTTCACTGTGTTTGTTTAGTATTAAATTATTGTAAACAAACCTAAAATGTATTTAGTTGGGTTAGGGTAAAATAAATTGTTCTTGTTATAATAATGTTAGGTAAGATTTCTAAGATTCTTTTGGAGCAAAATTAAAAATTTTTGCATTAACATTAATGAAAAAATATATCTTTAAATGTATAAAAGAAATTTTTCGAAAGGACTTAATTTTAAATGAGTTCTTGCTAATTGACCAGTTTTACATATTCGGCACGACATATATATATATATATATATATATATATATATATATATATATATATATATATATATATATATATATATATATATATATATATATATATTATCTCAAGCAATTTTTTATAGATCGAAGGGGGCTATGTACACTAATGTTAGTTTGAGAGTGTTTTGTGTGTGTGTGTGTGTGTGTGTGTGTGTGTGTGTGTGTGTGTATGTTTTACGGAGGGCATTGTAGAAATTGTGTGTATAAAAAAACAGTCCATTAAATAATGTCAGTGGACGGATTTGTTCCGACACCGGACGCGTATTAGTCCTGATTATTCAGTGTAAACAGGACAGGACAGAAGAGGAGAGGTGTGTAGTCAGTACTGGAAGAGCGGTGGCTGGAACAAGACGTCGTATGATGTCATAGTGTAGGTGGTATTTTCGGAGTGTTTAGTCCATGTGTTATTTTATTTTTTTTTTTACTGCGTATGGATGGCCTGTTTTGGAGAGTACTAGTCAGGTTTTTTGCTTGCATGCTAAAAGGCCTTCCGCCGGCCTTTTAGCATGTACTAACCAATAACACTGTACAGTGGGTCTAGGCAATATTCTGTACCTGGTACAGGTACACTGGTGTGTACCTGTACCAGGTACAGAATATTGTAGAGGTTAGGTTGTATGTTGTATATATAATTTTACTATTAATTAACATAGCTAATTTTTTTTTTAAAGTGAATTTGACTGCGCATTCTGATAATTAAAATAAGTACTGACCATCTAGTTTAGTGAATAAACAAGGTTGGAATTAGGTTGATATATTTTTTTTAATATTTTAAATGCCTCTAGACAAGGTTTTTACCCCTAAGTGCCAGAATTTATTTACTTACCGTAATAAATATGTTACAAGGCGTGTATTTTCCGTGTTTGAATACAGTAATTTAGACTTACGTTATGGTACCAGAGGACTTTGTAGACGTGGGGATGAGCTCTGACATTGCACTCAAAGTAGACATCGTCACCTTCCTTTATCTTGTCTGCACTCAGGCTGCTGCCTATCGCAAGGTGCACCTGCGGAGTGTCTGTATAGAGAAGTGGGAGAATAACATGGGAGTAACAACACCAGGGACTAAAGAACTTTAAACTAGCTTAAATATTAGAGATTAAACTGGACACGGTTTTAATACGTTTTGTATCAACATCGAAATCTGAAAATGATCCGAGATCTTCAAAATATCGTCTGTTTCAAGTGTTATTTCTTAAGAGAAGATCGAGCGTGTTCAGCCGCACTGACAGCTGACATTGGGTTATGTCAGTGGGGAGATTATTATTTAAATGAAGTATTTAATTAATGAGAGTCACTCAGCATGAACAACCTCATTTCTTCATCAGCTAATTTCAGATGTGAGTCAGAAATAACAGTGTGTAATGTTTTGGGAAGGGAGGAGTGATAGGAGGGAATGAGAGGCATTATTAACATTGTGGTTATTTTGTAAATGGAATGATTGAGATTGTGTGATGAGGTAACAGGAATAGGATTGAAATAGAGGAAACTTCTGAGGTATGAGATACGTGGCTAGACGTATGAGTAAGGTGTAGAAATAAGAATACCAAGATGGTGAAGTCGAACGTTTAAGATGAGTGTTCATGGAAAGCCGATGTTGTAGGCTTTATTTTTAACTCTGAGCGTATAAACAAATTCTTGTTTGAAGAAGGAGTCAGAATTAAGAAATTAATGTGCATAATTATTAGAATGTGGCGTTGGACTTAATGATGCTGGCTGTGAGAAACCTTTTGACCTGGCTATATAGGTACCTAACATCCGTTAACATTATCTTGAGAAACCATCCATCTATTTCCATTCCACTTCTTAACCATTCACACTGAAGAAATACTTTCTCGTATCTTCGTGACTCAATAGTGCATTTATCTTCCATCTCACCGTCTCAAACAGCCTGTCCTAATTAACTATATAAATTCCTGTGATCATTTTGTACGTTATTATTATGTCTCCCCTGGAAATTTTGTTATCTAATGTCATCAGGTTCAACTTAGCTAATCTTTCCTCATACCTCATACCCATCTACTCTGGGATTAGTCTGTTCTACATTAGTTGTGTATCGTTTGCAAACAGCGATACATTTGACTCTATACGTTCTGTCAGGTTATTCATGAATACAAGAAACAGTAGTGGTTCTAGGACTGACCCATGTGGAACTCCACTCATTACATGTACCCATTCCAACTCCTCGTCACGCAACATCAGTCATTATTTCCTTCCTATCAGTGCTTTACATGCTGTTCCCGTCTCCTCCCTCTTTTATACCAGTCTTTTGCACAGTAGTGTTACAACAGCCTTCTTACAATCACTGAAATTACAATATACCTATGTCTCTTTCTCCTGTCTTACTTCTGTCATCCTGGAATACAACTCCAGTAGTTTAGTACTCAACATTTTATATCCCTGAAGCCGTGCTAATTGTCATGAATGGACCCATTCATTTCTAAGTGTTCCACCACTCTTCTGATAATCTTTTCCATGATTTTACTTACTATATAGTCAGTGACACTCGCCTGTAGTTCAGTACTGCTTGTCTGTCTCGCTTCTTAAAAACTGGGACTGCATTTGCTCTCTTCCACACCTGTTCCGATAGACTTGTTAAAGATTGTTGCTAGCATTTTACGCAGTGACTCTGCTTCTCTCTGTGGCCCACAAAGATATATTATCTGGTCCCACTAGTTTCTTCATCTCTTTTCCGGTTGGGTATACTGTGTCCAACACTGCTGGTGCACTCTGCCGCCAGTTCATAGCTTCTCGGATCACTGGCCCTTGTTCATGGGTCAGAGCTGTGGGAAGGAAACCATACCCCCGGCCGGGATTGAACCCGGCGGGTAAGAGGTATCGATGGCAGGATGACTTTTTGTGAGAGGCTGTTATGAGGATGGTAATTGTGCTGGGGGAATGGAGACTGTGGATATGGAGTATGATTTTATAATATCTTTATTTCTACAAGTACATGTACAAAGTATACAGACCATACCTGACATCAATGACATACTACCTCATAGAAAGCCGCTTGTTATGCAGAGCATTTCGGGCAAATTAGGTCAGTTTTGTCCCAGGATGCGACCCACACCAGTTGACTAACACCCAGGTATACATTTTACTGATGAGTGAACATAGACAACCGGTGTAAGGAAACACGCCAAATGTTTCTACCCTCACCAGGAATCTTGGAAGTCCTCTGTAGGCTGAGTTTCCATGACTGTCAGTGTATGACCTTTCTTTGCTGCCTCTGGTGTTTGTTCTCTCTCTGTCTCTCTCTCAGTTGCTCTCTTCACTTTCTTCTGCCCCAGATGAAATACATCCAGCAACATTTCTGTGTCCTTTTATCGTAGTTTTCGCTGCATAATCCTGTTTGACATGATTTCTGTTATGAGTGTAAATTAATCTGGGTGATGTTTCTCACTCAACTCCCAAGTCTCTGAAAATTTGATAACAGGGACATATCATCTCCATTATTATTAGGATGATACTTTGAATCTCTGTCTCCTTTGCCTCTCGTAATTTGTCACAGGTCTTCCCTTCAGCTTTCTGTAGCCAGTGAATAAATTACTGTGTAACAAAATTTCACTTTCGTCGTGTTCCTGGGAAATAAGCATCATTTCCCAATTCTTAATAACTAAACAAAATTTAAAAATGAAATTTTGACCCCAGAACTTTGTTTTTGTGGTCAGGTATCTTCTGGAACAGTTTCCAGAAAGACTGATGAAGAACTATTATGTTCTATGGCTTTGCTTGGCAAATATAAAAGCAGCGGCTCACAAACCATCATTCAGTTCATTTCTGGCTACCTGAGAAGACACATCAGATGAAGTGAAATAGCATCAAGAGGCTGCAATCATTCTCCAGATACATTCTGCTACATATGTGGTCGATTCATTAAGACAAGAGCAAAGAAGTTCTCTGTAACAGCATCTAAAAAAAAGTGTGAAGCTTACAAAGCATATTTTGGCATGTCAGTTGTGGACCAAGACAAGACCTGGGCGCCTCATGTTGCTTGTGGACATTGTAAGAAAACATTGGAAGGTAAGAAAGTCATTAGTTATATGAAGAGTAAAATCTTGAATAGGAACATTTTTTAAGTGAAATGTAACAGAAACTAATTCTTTTGTTCTTTTACAGGATGATATAGAGGAGAAAAGAGCCATGAAGTTTGGTGTTCCAAGAATATGGTGTGAACCCACTGATCACTCAACCAACTGCTGCTTCTGTCTGGTGGATTCTTCCAAACACCGAACTGGGAAAAATGCACCTGCTATTTCTTATCCAGACCTTCGCTCTTCCATTGCACCAGTACTACACAGTGGTGATCTTCCTGTACCTACACCTCCAGAAAGAAGTCAACCGTCAGAAGAAGAAAGCAGCAAATCAGAAAATGAAGAACATAGTGAATAAGACTATGATCTCACAGATGCAGCTGTTGGGAGGAATCCCTACTGTCCAAACCTTATCAGAGATCTTGGTTTGACAAACTCAAATGCTGAACTTTTGATTTCAAGGTTCAAGGAGTGGGACTTGGTGGATGAAAGTTTGCAGGTGACTAGCCAAAGAAAACGTCACCAACATTTCTCAAGCTTCTTCACTAATGAAGACAGGATGTGCTACTGTAATTATGTATTAGGCCTGTTTGATGCAATTGGAATTGCATGCAATGCAGATTAGTGGCGACTCTTCATTGACGGCTCCTCCTCAAGTATCTATCTCTTCACTTGGCTCATTCAGTGCATCTTAAGGAGGATTACATCAGTGTCACACTTCTTCTGGAAGATTTGAATTATGATAAATATGGCAGGGAACTATGATAAATATGGTGATATTTTTCATGGGACTCCAAGAAGGTTTTACCAAGTTTTCTTGTTATCTCTGTCATTGGGATAGTAGAGACAGAGCAGCACATTACCATAGGAAGCACCGGCCTCGAAGACTGAGTTCTCAGTATGAGGACATAATATCAAACATAAACCAATGGTGGATTCTCTAAAGGTTCTGGTCCCTCCATTACACATCAAACTAGGGCTCCTGACACAGAGTCTGCAGCCTTAAAGTATTTTCAAGACTTCTTTCCCAAGCTATCAGAGGCCAAGGTGAAGGCTGGCATTTTTACTGGACCACAAGTCAGGAAAATCATGGAGTACTCAGAATATCCAAAGATTCTCACAGAGAAGGAAAAGGAAGCCTGGCAGAGTTGTGTTGCTGTAGCACAAGACTTTCTGGGCAACAACAAGGCTGACAATTATGTGGAACTTGTTGAGACCTTGGTAAAAAGCTATGGTCAGATGGGCTGTAGGATGTCCCTTAAGGTCCATATCCTTGATACTGATCTTGATAATTTCGAAGAGAATATGGCAGCATACTCAGAAGAGCAAGGGGAGCACTTCCACCAAGATATAATTGACTTTGAATACAGATATCAGGGATCTTATAACGAAAACATGATGGGAGACAACATTTGGGAACTTAAACGGGAAAGTAATTTGTTGCATGCTCGAAAATATAGAAAAACTGCTCAGTTTTAACTTTGTAAATATGTTTCGGAAAGTTTAAAATAATTTTTTTGTAAATTTTATTTTATGTAAATTCTATTTATATTATATGTTTTTGTTTTACATCAAATCTAGCAAAAACTATTGAAATTTAACCATTTTTTGTGTGAAAAATTCATCCTGTAAGCTACAAAAGCAAAGTTTAAAAGGAATGGGCATTTTCTATTGTTTTGCAATAAAAGGAGTTGGAAAATAACACTTACTTCCCAGGAGCAAAAATAATGTTACACAGTGTAATCAGTGATTTTTCTCTCTCTCCTCTTCCAATTTCCTTTCCCCTGGTGTTTCCCTTATTATCTCCCGCACCTACCAGCTGTCTGATATAATTTCTGCAAAGGTTTTCTTAGCTCTTTCCTTCCAACAATTTTCTTGTTGGCCGTTGCTGTTGCTGCACAAAGATCTTTGCCCCTCTTACTCCTTGGCTCCATTTCCCACTTAGTTCCTTCAGTTCCTCCTCCAGGATTAGTACCTTTGCCTCAGCAGCTGCAGCTCACCTCTCTCTCACTTCACCATGCCCCTGAGTGTGTGTGCATTAACGCTTGTATGTAAGTGTGAGATGTGATGTGATGCAAGTGTATTTGTATGGGGGATAGTCTGTGTGGCTGTGTGTGGGTGTCTGCAGTTGTGTGGACTAGAGTTTTTGTGTATGTATGAACAAGAGTGTCAACTCACACTGGACGTCGAGTTTCCATTGGTCATGCAGAGGTTGGTGTTCTATAACAGGAGACACTGCCACACACTTGAGTAACTTGCCTCCGTCAGTGTGTCTAGGAACCAGTAGTACTTTACTAAGTGTGACATTCCCATTGCTCGCCGTCTGTCTAGGAGAGAAGAAGTTAAACACACACACTCATAAACACACACACACACACACACACACACACACACACACACACACACACACACACACACACACACACACACACAAACACACACAAACACACACACACACACACACACACACACACACACACACACACACACACACACACACACACACACACACACACAGGTGTGTGAGAGAGGGATGGGTAGACTGCATCTTCTTGGAATGCAAGGTTTTCGACACAGCAGGACACAAGAGACTGGATGTAAAGCTAGAAGAGCAAGCAGAAAAAGCAAGGAAAACACTGCAATGGATCAGAGAATACCGAACAGGAAGGAAACAACGTGTGCTGGTATGTGACAGTCTTAAGGCCGGTACTGCTTCTTGTATATGTGAATGACATGACGGAAGGGATAGATTCAGAGGTGTCCCTCTTGACAGACAATGTGAAACTAATGAGGAGAATACAAGTGGACGAGGGTCAAGTAAGACTACATGGGTATCTGGACAGGCTGCAAGACTGATCCGACAAATGCCATGAAGGTTGGGAAATGACAAAGAAGACCACAGAAGGAGTACAGCTTAGGGAGTCAAAGGCTACGAAACTCACTCAAGGAAAAGTATCTTTGGGTTAACATCATACCAAGCACATCTCCTGAGGCGCACATTATCCAAACAACTACTGCAGCATATGCGCACCTGGAAAACCTAAGAATAGCTTTTTCACATGTAGGTAAGGAGTCATTCAAAACACTATACACCGTGTACGTCAGACCCACATTGGAGTATGCAGCACCAGTACTGAACCCACACCTGGTCACACATGTCAAGAAATTAAAGAAAGTGCAAAGGTTTGCAACATGATTACTCCCAGAGATAAGGGGTATGTCCCACGAGGAGAGGTGAAGGTAACTCAACCTGACAATATTGAAGGACAAGAGGGATAGGGGGGACATAACAACATATAAAATATTGAGAGGACTTGATAAGGAAAACAAGTACAGAATATTTCAGAGATGGGACACAACTGGAAGTTAACAAGTCAAATGAGTCATAGGGATGTTAGGAAACATTTTTTCAGCTTTAGAGTTGATAGGAAGTGGAACAATCTAGAGAGTGAAGAAGTTGAGTGTTCCTAGTAGGGAGAAGCAAAGACGTGGAGCCAGGAGCAGTTAATCGACCCCTGCAACCACAAATATGTGAGCGCGTGCGCGCACACACACACACACACACACACACACACACACACACACACACACACACACACACACACACACACACACACACAGAGGAAAAGCAAGAGACTACATAAGAGGAACACTTCAGTCTGGAGGTTCCAAGGTGGCAACTGCAGTAATATATAACCCACCACAGAGCAGCAAGAGACCAATGCAAGAATATGATGAGAGTAACAGAGCGATGATTGACACACTGGGTGAAATGGCCGGGAGAGCTCATGCGAGCAGGGCAAAGCTACTGATTGTGGGTGACTTCAGTCACAAAGAAACTGACTGGGAGAACCTGGAGTCACATGGAGGCCCAGAAACGTTTAGGGATAAGATGATGGAAGTGCTACTGGAAAACCTCGTGCAACAGCATGTTAGCGACACTATCAGACGGAGAGAGAACAGGATGAACCAGCAAGAATGAACCTAGTATTCACCTAGAGTAGTGCAGATATTGGAAGACCTCTCGGGCCAGTGACCACGTGGTTCTGAGCTTCGAATATATAGTTGAGTTACAAGAGGAGAGGGAAGCCAAACTACAAGTGAACCCAAACTACAAGAAAGAGGAGTATACACGCATAAAGAATTTCCTGCACGAGGTTCAGTGGGGCTTAACACTGGCAGGAAAATCAATTAAATAAGATAATGGTATATGTGACAACAATATGCAAGGAAGCTGAGGAGAGGTTTGTACCGAAGTGTAACAGAAATAACGAGAAGGCCAGGATGAGTCCTTGGTTCACTGAAAGGTGTTGAGAGGCCAAAACCAAGTGTGGTAGAGAAAGGAACAAGTATAGAAAGCAAAGGACCCAGGAGAATATGGAGTGCAGTTGTAGAACCAGAAATAAATAAGCCCAGTTAAGAAGAGAGTCCAAACGACAATACGAAAATGATACAGCAGCGAAAGCCAAATCTGATCCGAACCTGTTGTACTGCCCCATCAAGAGAAAAACAACAGTCAAGGACCAGATAATCAGGATGAGGAAGGAAGGAAAATGACAAGAAATGACCGAGAAGTATGTGAGGAACTCAAGATGAGATTCAAAGAAGTGGTCGCAGAGGAGACAGAAGGGACTCCAGAAAGACGGAGAGGTTAGGTACACCATCAAGTGTTAGACACAATACATACAACCGAGGAAGAGGTTAAGAGGCTGCTAAAAGAGCTAGATACCTCAAAGGCTATGGGGTCAGATAACATCTTTCCATGGATCTTGAGAAAGGGAGCAGAGGTGATATGTGTGCCACTAACAATCTTCTACACATCTACCGAAACAGGGCGGCTACCTGACGTAAGAAAGACAACAACTGTAGTCCCAATTTTTAAAAAAGGAGAGAGACAAGAAGCATTAAACTACAGACCAGTGTCACTGACATGTATAGTAAGCAGAGTCTTGGAGAAGATTATCAGAAGAGTGGAGGAGTACCTAGAAAGGAATCAGCTTGTCACTGACCATCACAGTCAGTTTCAGGAACAGGAAATCCTGTACCACAAACCTACTTGAGTTCTATGACAGGGTGACAGCAGTAAGACTAGAAAGAGAGAATTGTGAGTAGACTGCGTTTTCTTGGACTGTAAGAAGGCTTTTGACACAGTTTCACAAAAGAAATTAGTTTGTAAGCTGGAGAATAAGGCATGTATCACGGACGACACTGCAATGGATCAGGGAATGCCTATCGGGAAGTCATCAGAAAATCATGGTACGTGACGAGGTGTCAGAATGGGCGCCTGTTACCAGCGGGGTTCCACAGGGATCAGTCCTAGGACAGGTGCTGTTTCTGGTATATGAGAATGACATGATGGAAGGAATAGACTCAGAAGTGTTCCTCTTTGCAGATGATGTGAAGTTGAGAGGAATTCAATCGGATAAAGGCCAAGCGGAACTACAAAGGAATCTGGACCGGCTGCAGGCCTGGTACAGAAACAGGCTCCTGGAGTTCAACCCCGCCAAGTGCAAAGTCATGAAGATTCCGGAAGAGGAAAAAGGACTGCAGACGGAGTACAGTCCAGTGGGGCAGAGACTACAAACCTAACTCAATGAAAAGGATCTTGGGGTTGGTATAACACAAGGCACATCTCCTGTGGCGCACACCAGCCAAATAACTTCTGCGGCATATGGGCGCCTAGCGAACTTAAGAAAAGCATTCCGACATCTCAATAAGGAATCGTTCAGGACCCTGTACACTGTGTACGTCAGGCATATATTGGAGTATGCAGCACCAGTTTGGAACCCATACCTAGCCAAACAAGTAAGGAAACTGGAGAAAGTGAGGTTTGTAGCAAGACTAGCCCATTAGCTAAAGGGCATGTCTTAAGAGGAGAGGTTAAGGGAAATCGACCAAAAGACACTGGAGGACAGGATAGATAGGGGGGGATGTGATAACACATATAAAATGCTGAAAGGAATAGACAAGGTGGACAGAGATGGGACGCAGCAACAAGGGGGCACAATTGGAGGCTGAAGACTCAGATGAATCACAGGGATGTTAGGAAATATTGCTTCTGTCATGGAGTTGTCAGGAAGTGGAAAAGTCTGGAAAGTGATGTAGTGGAGGCAGAATCCATACATAGCTTTAGGAACAAGTATGATAAAGCTTATGGAGCAGGAAGAGTGACCTAGTAGTGACCAGTGAAGAGGCGGGAGCGATAAGCTGTGACTCGACCCCTGTAACTACTACTAGGTGAGTAGGCTAGTACACACACACACACACACACACACAAACACACACACACACACACAGTTTACCTGGAGTTTACCTGGAGAGAGTTCCGGGGGTCAACGCCCCCGCGGCCGGGTCTGTGACCAGGCCTCCTGAGAATAAAAAGATAATTTAGTGTAGTCAACATAACAGAGAGATAATTTAGTATAGTCAACATAACAGAGATAATTTAGTGTAGTCAACATAACAGAGATAATTTAGTGAAGTCAACATAACAGAGAGATAATTTAATGTAGTCAACATAACAGAGAGATAATTTAGTGTAGTCAACATAACAGAGAGATAATTTAGGTTAGTCAACATAACAGAGAGATAATTTAGTGTAGTCAACATAACAGAGATAATTTAGTGTAGTCAACATAACAGAGAGATAATTTAGTGTAGTCAATATAACAGAGATAATTTAGTGTAGTCAACATAACAGAGATAATTTAGTGTAGTCAACATAAAAGAGAGATAATTTAGGTTAGTCAACATAACAGAGAGATAATTTAGGTTAGTCAACATAACAGAGATAATTTAGTGTAGTCAAAATAACAGAGAGATAATTTAGTGTAGTCAACATAACAGAGAGATAATTTAGTGTAGTCAACATAACAGAGATAATTTAGTGTAGTCAACATAACAGAGAGATAATTTAGTGTAGTCAACATAACAGAGAGATAATTTAGTTTAGTCAACATAACAGAGATAATTTATGTATTCAACATAACAGAGATAATTTAGTGTAGTCAACATAACAGAGATAATTTAGTGTAGTCAACATAACAGAGAGATAATTTAGTGTAGTCAACATAACAGAGAAAATTTAGTGTATTCAACATAACAGAGATAATTTAGTGTAGTCAACATAACAGAGATAATTTAGTGTAGTCAACATAACAGAGATAATTTAATGTAGTCAACATAACAGAGAGATAATTTAGTGTAGTCAACATAACAGAGAGATAATTTAGTGTAGTCAACAAAACAGGGAGATAATTTAGTGTAGTCAACATAACAGAGATAATTTAGTGTAGTCAACATAACAGAGATAATTTAGTGTAG